ATGGTGATAGAATTCTTTAGAGTACTAGGACTCACTTGTGACTTCATATCTGAAGCCTTAGACGTGGCATCTCTTTTTATATCTTAGCTTTCTCGTCGACAAGATGAGAGACTTGCATTGGTTTTCTTCATAGCCCTGTTCTGTGAGTCTGTAAGATTTGCAGAGCAGCCTGCTGTAGAACTGTTACAACAATGCTTATGTGTGAACTCCAAAGGATTCCCGATGTAACTAAGGTGAACATGCCTATCCTTTAAGAAATGTTGGGTCAGTAATGTATTTGCCAAAGGGCATTGGGAGAAGAGGGTTAAAATGCAGTCTTGGAGGGCACTGGAGCTGAAGTTAGTATTTGTTTATTTGTTGACTCTTTCAACAAATGTTTATTGAGCCCTACATTGCAGAGGTTTTATGAGGCCTGGGAGATTCAGTATTGTACAAAACAATTAACCTGATCTCACAGAGCTTGTGTTTCATGAGGGAGCCAGATAAATAGATCTTGAAAAGAAAGGTATGACACGATATAGTTCATGAAAAACAATAAATGAAATTTAGTAGGGACCAAGAATGGTTACATATGTGCACAGCAGGTGGTGGATGCTTGGGTCTGTTTTAAGAGCACAGACAGGAGTGTACATTCTCTAATGGGGTGACATGTGAACAGAGCTCTGGAGACAGAGAGCAGCCATGTGAAAAACTGAGGAGCCAATTTCCAGGAAGAAGGAAGAGTGAGTACAAAATTGTGAGACAGAAGTGAACTACCTGAGGTGGAATTGCAGAGAGGAGGTGTGCTGAGTGAAGGGACAACAGAGGCGGGAGAAGCAGGTGGGGCACACATTACACACATGTCTACATAGAGAGTTAAGAACTTCGATGGGAACACATGAAAAATTAGCAATCAAAGGGAAATCATACGATTGGAGATTTAGAAAGATTATGTTGTCTTTTGTGTGTAGGACAGATTTTCAAGCACAAGGAGGGATACTGGGAGAAGAAATTGGGGGCTCTTGCCCATAAACAATGACGGCGTTCTGCATTCGAGAAGCTTCGCGAAAGTGGGTGAGGAACGGTCAGATGATGCATAAACCTGGTGGAAGAACTTGCTGTTGGAGTGGATATGGGTGTGAGGAAAGGGGAAGTGCTACAGAGCTACAGAGCCGTGGCTTTAATGTTGGCCTTGAATACCAAGCGAGTACTGGTGCTCATGAATTGGGAGACAAGTCAGCAAGAATAGTGCAGTCAAGAATGCATGTTTATTCAAATGATATCAGGCAGGAAATTGGACATAAGAGTTTGGAGTATCCTAAAGATTTTTGCTCTGCTGATATTCACTTGAATGAATTTGCACGATGACAGGGTTGCAGATCTCATGAAAGCGTTAATAGTGAGCGACTCACTCAAGATGCTTGTCCATGAGTCCACCACCTTCCCTCTCTCACACAATCTGTGGGGTTTGAACATTGCTGTGAATCTTCTCAACTTCATCACCTAGAAAGATTTGTTTCAAGTATAATTTCCATATTTGTGTTTATCCCCCTAGTCTCTGTTTTCCATACTAGAGGCATGCCTGTGCTGACTATTCTATTCTTTCCAACATTTGAACATGACACTCATTCTAACCATGGCTATCAATGTTGAGCACACTCCATGGGCAGCCCTTAATCCCTGGGCCAATAGCAGGATTCAAGGGTACAGACAGGTGCAAGAGATCCGGTTACCAGTCACAGGAAGAAGAAAAGCAGTGTTGGTGATCCGGTCTTGATAGGAGTCACCGTGGATGGATCTGAAGTGTTTCAGAGTCTGCCAAATCATAAGATTGCCTCTTATGAAAGATGCACACTCTGTGTCAACTTCTTGGAAATGCTAAATAGGATATTGGAAGATGGGAGGGGTTGAGTTAAGGAATAATTTCAAGCTCTTAGCCGAAATTGTGCCCTGGAAAAGCTTGGGATCATGTTGTTTATAGCCATCAAGTCCCAAATCAAATTCACATACACAATAAGGGGCATTTCCTGTCTCTGACAGCATAAAGGGAAAAGATTCACTTCATGAGGCTGATCCAAGACCTAAATGAAATTGTGGAAATATTTCCTTAGGTTTCTTTGCTTAACATTTTTCTTGTTTGAGAATTTTATACATGCATATATTTTTATAAAATTCTTTCCCTCCCCCCTCAACACTATTCACTCCCAATTTCATGTATTCCCTTTTAAAAACCCACTGGGCCTACTTTAGTTTTTTTGGGAATGTATTTCATGTCTGAGTTATTCCATAAATGTTACCTGTTTTGGAGTAAAGAATAAAGGAGAGGTAGAAGGAATTGATATTTTTTCAGAGCAAGGCAAGAAGAGAAGGAAAAGGGACTTTTTCACGCTTTGCCTTAGTATTTAAAACAAAACAACGAAGATGCCAGCTGGACAACAAAGTTTAAGTAAAAAGAGAAACATAAGTACCACATAAGCTAGAAAATTGTACTTATATTTGGTAAGGAGTAGAAATGGGTGATCGCATGGTATAGGTTTATCCAACAACTAGGACTCCCCAGTTCCATAGCACAGTGCGCCACACACAAGGGTTATAGGAAGGCTTTGATTTGGGAATATGCAGCATGTATGGCAAGGCATCTCATCTTGTCACGTTTGTAACTGTGGTGTCCACACTCTGTTATAGTAGAAAGGCAGTGTGTCTCATAGGCATCCCTGTGTGGTTTCAAACCACAAGCCTGTCCATTGCTAGGTTATGCGATTCCCCAAATCATCACACTCTCCCTGCAGGATTCTTCATTCAAACTGAGGTGCTAATCTGTGAGCTTGTTCATTATTATGTGTGAAACTTGAAAGAAGGTCATGAGGGTAGAAAAACCAAGTTTCCCCACACCATCTCTCCCCCCTTTCACGTGTGTGTGTGTGTGTGTGTGTGTGTGTGTATGTGTGTGTCTGTGTGCGTCTGTGTGTGTACATGTGTATGTGTGAGAGTATATACGTATGTGGAGTCCAGAAGTCAACCTCGGGTGCTGTTCCTCAGGAATTGCCTACCTTGGTGGGTGTGTTTCGTTTTTTGAGACAGGTTCTTTCAGTGCCCTGGAGCTCACTGAGGAGGATAGGTTGGTAGCTCAGTGAATTCTAGTGAACCCTAGGCACCTTCCTCTCTCTGTCTCCCCAGCATTGAGATTACAAGTGCACACAGTGCACAAGTACATTCCACCATAGCCAGGTGGTGTGTGTGTGTGTGAGTGGGCTCACATGAATGTGTGTAGAGACCCTCTCAACTTTGCTTTTGAAGACTCCATGTCTGCTGAACCTGCCAGTAAGCCAGCTACCCAATAAGCCCCAAAGACTTACTGACTCCATGCCCTAAGCTCTGGAGTTACAGATGGTCATCTCCATACCTAGAGTTTCACTTGGGTCCTCATGCCTATGCAACAAGCAGTCAGCCCCGTGGCTTGTCTTCCCAGCCTCTGAAAAACAAGCCTTCAGGAAGGGATAGAAAAGTCATTTTAAAAAGAGGGTAGTAGCCACCATGTGGCATGAAATTGGAAAGGGAACATGAGGGAGAGGAAGGGGACAAGAGGGGAAAGGAGGAAGTAAAGAATGGGGAAAGGAGCTGGGGGAACCAACTAAAACAGAGTTTTTATGAAAGTATCGTAATGAAATAGTTTGTGTGCTAGTTACAAAATAAACAACAACAACAAAATTTGGGGGTAGAAGGGTCTAGTGTGACAGCATGATCAAGATCAGTCAAAGCCGTTCTCATACTGCCTACCCCAGAGCCTGGCACACAGGGTTTACTCAATGAAGCTGAGGGTTCTTCCCTCTACTCCTTCCTGTTAAGTTACCATTTCTCTTGTCTTGGCTAAAGTGAATTTATAGTGAGTGATAAAATGCACAGAATCTGATCCAAGATATCTTATCACCGGCTTAGGCACGGCAGGGCCACAACTTGTCTAGAAATAACAGATTATTGACTAATGGATGGCTTCAGGAACAGAGAGACTTAGCTATTTTACTGGGGAGGGGATAATTTCAGATTTCAACTCTGAGCCTCAGTTTCCCCATTTACAAACCTTACAGGGCTATCAGACAAACAAACAATTGAGGCACTGGGCTTAACATCATAGCTGGACCTTGTACAATTTCCATGAGCAGTAATGACAGAAGGAAGCACACTCCTTCTTGTGAGTGTTCTGCAAGGTTGCCTCATATCCTGCACATGAGATCTCTTATGGAATCTCAGATATATCTTGAGGATGATGTTTGTTACATGATAAACTTGCTCTACCATATGGGCCTCCTTAGTCATCCTTGTTAGCTGGTTGGAATGTGACATAGGAGTCCATTTGCCTGCTGGGTGCCTTTTAAAGAAGGGGGCCTGGACTTCATTCTACTGGTGATTTATTTAAAAATGCCTGCAAGCGAGGAGACGCAAAATGTTCTGCAGAGTCTGTGTGTGCATCTTGTCCCAGAGTGAGTCTGTGACTGTTCATTTGCTGTTTACAGGGCATGACTACCTAATTTATAGACTCTGAAGAAAAAAGCAGGCTTTGGATTGCCTAATATAGTTTATAATGCAGCAATAAATTTAGGCCCATTTATAGAACATTATGCCTTGCAATCCCCTCCTCAGCTTTATTACTTAGGAGGAGAAAGTGTGGCTCTCTATCGCTCTAAAAAGTAGAAAAATGTAACAAGACTTTAAAAGGAACTGAGTTCACAGAGCTGTATGTGAGCTTTGGAGCAATATACAGAAAGTCTAATTTTCTCCTAAAATGTCAGCTTGCTTCCCACCACTTGAGATGATTTAGAGATGGCTGAGAATATTTTCTCAAAAGACCTTACTTCCACTCTCATGTCCCCAAAATATTCCTCTGTGCTTAAAGAATTTAGCAATTACACAGCTGCTATAAAGTAGCAAGTGACATCTGCCCTACATATTTTTTTCCCTAACATCAAAGCTGTTTAATTAGAACACAAGCTTTCTCCTCCAGAGTCTAACTTTCTCTCTGAGGTTTTAATCTTCTTTTAGAGCCATTATCTCACAATTAAGTCTGAACTTTGGGGTAAAACAACAACAAAAACACCCTCCAGGAACCTGGAACCTGCGTGGTTCAGGGTAGGGCACTCTTCTGTTTCTGTCTGAGGTGAGTGTTTTTTATTGTCTTAGGGGCTTTCAGAGAAAGGTTCCTCCTTCCGCTGCCTCTCCCCATCCCCCACCTTATTTCTCTTCTTCCTTGAACCTGGTGAGTAGTCCCAGGCCCACTTGTGTCAAGACAAGATACTGTTATTAGAAAAATGAACTGGAGGTCATGCATTTATCTTTGTCTCTTTGCCTCCTCTGCAGAACCCAGAGCAAGACAAATTATGGATGACCCGCTTTTATCCAAGCCAAGCTGGAATGGAGATAAATGGCTTGGAGTGGGGGGCGAAGAGAAACAGAACTGTGTTAGAGAAACCTTTTGACAGGGGGGGTTCTGCTGCATTGGGTCTATAATTGACACCATAGAAGGGTCTCTAGATGCAATCTATTGGCATGAAAGCAGTGAGGAAAGAGATACTTAGAAAGCACAAATTCCTGTCATTCTGTTGTTACCTTAGGAGGTTTAGGGCCATGGAGCACAGGTCAAGCATGTGGGGTTCTGGGTCAGGCTGCCGGGTTTGTGTCTTGCTTGTGTTGTTTGCTAGTTGGACATGGGTGAGAACTAGAATTTCTCTTTGACACAGTGCCTTACATGCCAAATGTCCAGGAACAATAGTTAGGGGCTCAGGGGATAGCTTAGTCAGTAAAGTGCTTACTTGCAAGTGTGGGGAGATCGGCTCAATCCCCCACAAACCAAATAAATAAAGCTGAATGTGGTGGCTTGTGTTTGAAATCCCAGTGCTGAAGAGTTGGAGACAGAATGATCTCTGGGGCTTGCTGGTCAGACAGCTTAGCCTAGTTGTTGAAGCCCAGACCATTGAGAGAAACAATATCAAATAAAGCAGAACCCAAGGTGGATGGCTTCTGAGTAATGACACCTGAGGGTGCCTTCCTTCTGACATCTACACCTGTCCTGCCCCACCCCCGCAACAGTAGTTCGTACATCATGTTTTGGGTTATAGTACCAAGGATCATTCAGTGCAGAACTAAAAACAGTGAGTGAGAAGTACAGGGACAGTGACAGACAGGCTGAAAGCCATTCCTGCCTTCCTTCCATCACTTATCCATCCAATATGTAGTTACGAAGATTTATGACTCTTTTGGCACTGGTGATACAGAAATACACAAGAGAGAATTCCAGAGCTCATGAAGTTTGCCACCATGCTAACTAGCATTTTTTTGGTAATAAATAAGGAAAATGGATTTCAAAAAGTTGAATTATTGAATTTGTGAAAGTGCTCCAAACGGAGCAGGGTCTTGAAACCCACTTTCCACATTCCTGTCTGTTGGTCAGACTCAATTTTCTTTGTTAATAAATGTGCATTTGAAACAACTTTCTTCTTAATACTATTTTCCTTCTACTGATGTCTTACCTTTGTAGGGTGCATTTGTAAATGAAGACATAATGACAACATTATTATTTTACTATAGTTCATACTGTTCTCACTCTATTCAGATGCCATAAGTATCATATTCTTCAAGGTTCCTTCATACTCCAAAGTCCCATCTAGCATACTTGATTCTTTCTAATCATCCTGTCTCTTTGGGCTCCTCTTGGCTTTGTTATTACCTGTTTCATCTTCATTTGGTTTTAATGATCTTCATGGATTTTAAGTATCCTATGTATGTCATGGATACATGTTTTATCCACATGTTTTATTGCTAGAGTTATAGGTTTAGGTTGGGAGAACATACAGTGTCTAAAGAGTAGCTACTGTCAACATGGAGTAAAAATGTTTATGTTGACCTTGAAAATATGGCTGAAGTAGTACTTTCAATGTTTCGCTATCTGTTACTTTTCACCCTTCATTCTTTGGAAGCGTGGGCATCTGTGTGTATGATTGAGTAGAGAATGACATTTCATCTATGTGAGCGTGGAGTATCTGAATGAAGCATGTGGAACTGTTTTTAATTGAAAATCACTTTACTTTGCTGATATTTTTACACAACAATGAAAGACAATACTAGATGCCAAGCATTGAGATGGACTCTGGAAATGATGTCTACAGGAGGTGACAGGTATCTTTGGGATGCTTACCTTCTGGGAACATAGACAGTGTATAATTTTACCATAATGTGATAAATATATATTTAACCATCTAACAGGGACATGCTTAACTTCTATAGTGCCCTTTAATCTTTACATTGGTCAAAGTATCAGAAAGGTTCTTGCAATCAATAGCGTGTTCTTTTGTAAGGGTGGTGATTACATGTAGGAGGAAGCCTGTATGCCGCCATTAACCATGTGACTTACTAGAGGCGCATACAGATGAGATAATAAAAGAGCAGTTTACCACACCGCTAACCACACCCACTTTAGGCATGACTAAAGACGTATACGGACGGACGTAAAGACATATACGTACGTAGGCGGTGAACTGCGTCACTAGCCAGGCCCAAAAGTGGGCCTGGCTAGGGGGCGTTACGGGGGAAGGCATAAAAGACAGCACACAGGAAATCTTGGTCTCTTTTTCCGGATTTAGGCTTCCAGTTCGGCAGCGGAAAACTACTGGGCTCATCTGGGTTACTTGCTTGGTATCTTGTGAGTAATTTCTACAATAAATACTTAGTTTTACTTTCAGTAAGTGTGCCTCTTATCGTTACAGCGTCATTTGGAGCCTCATTTGGTGTCAGAAGTGGGATATATTACCTTTTATTAAAAAATAGATTAGTATGCAAAATAAAAGGTTCTTCTAACACATTTTCATTCACATTTGGCCTTGGTTGATTCTCCCAGCCTCTTTTCCACATCTCCTTAAGCCTGTTCCAGTTGTGTTCGTCTATACCTAGTAGTCCCCTTTCCGCTTTCATATTCTATGTGCTCTGTTACTCTCTGTACTTTCCTCCCTTACAGTCTCTTTTCTCTCTCCATAAGGACCCTTTCTAGGGTCTTTGTTTCTTTCAAAATTCACTTACACACATGCACATGTGCACGCATGCACACACACCAGACAGTGGTGGTGGCATATGCCTTTAATTTTAGCACTCAGGTGGCAGAGACAAGTGGATATTTATGAGTTCAAAGTCAGCCTGGTGTTCAAAGTGAGTTCCAGGTCAGTGAGAACTACATAGTGACACTGGTCTCAAAACTAACCAACCAACCAACAAACCAACCAACATGTAAAGCAAAGGCCAAACATTCAGCATTTATTTTTGTGAACCTGGGTTACCTTACTTTATTTTACATTTTCTATTTTCATCCACTTCCCTATTAATTTAATTTTTCTACAAAATTTTTGTATAACATTTTCAGTATTTACTCCTATGTGGATAATCATGTAGGCCAGTGATTCTCAATCTTTCTAATTCTGTGGCCATTTAATACAGTTCTTCAAGTTGTGGTGACACAAAACAATAAAATTATTTTCATGGCTACCTCACAACTGTAATTTTGCTACTGTCATGAATCTTTTAATGTAAATACCTGTGTTTTCTGATGGTCTTCTGGGGGGCTTGACTCACAGGTTGAGAACCACTGATCTAGGCTGATTCTGTTTTCTTGCTGTCTTGAAGAGAGTAGCAGAAAACATGGATGTGCAAATATTTCTGTGGAAGAACATAAAGTTCTTTGGGTATATGTTCAACCATGGAATAGCCGAGTCATATAGAAGTCCTAGTTTTGGTTTATCAAGGATCTCCCACACTGAGATCTACCCTCATCAACACTGAATAGGCGTTTCTCTTTTCCCACATCCTTGCCATTCCTTGTGGTCACCCCTCCCTGCCTTTTTTGATGATGGCTGTTCTGACTAGGGTGAGGTGGAATCTTAAAGTAGTTTAAATTTTGTTTCCCTGACGGCTAAAGATGTTGAACACTTAAAAATAAATGGGTTGGACATTTCTGTTTCCTTATTTGAGAACTGTTCAGTTCATTGACCAATTTACCGGTTGAGAGTTTTGGTAATTATTTATTTATTCACGTACATGTGTGGTGCATGTATGGGTAGATGTTTGTGTGTGTGCACCTGTGCATGCAGGTATACCTGTGCATATGTGCTTGTATGTGTTTAGTTCAGATGTCAGGCATCTTTGTCTCTCACTCTCAACTGTATTTTTTGTTATTGTTGTTTGTTTTGATAGGATCACTCCCTAGGCCTCAATGATTGGCTAGACTGTTGGTCAGGGAGACCCAAGGCTTTGCTTCTTTCCCTCTGTGTCCCCTCTTCTCTGGTGTTGGAGTTATAAATGTGCATCGCTATGCCTTGCTTTCACATGAGTACTGTGGATCCAAACTCAGGTTTTCATGCTTGTGTGACATAGATTTGCAAGCTGAGTGATCTCTCCTACCCCACTTTTGGGGTTTTGGTAGTCATTTATTTTACTTTTTTCCCTTAAGGAATTTCTTTTTACACCGCATTATCTATTTACTCATTTATTTATGTCGGCATGGATTCATGAATACATAGCTCATTCCCGTGGGTTATAATAAAGTGTCTATTTTTTGTTTTGTTTTGGTTTTTGGTTTTTTGGAGGTTTGAGTTTTCTCAGCTTTGGCCATTGGGGGCAGTTTCATTTGGCTCATGTGTGCCTCTGACATACTTCCATCCATGGAAGGGTTTTCTCTGTGTGCATAGTAATATATTTTGAGCATGTTCTTGGTTTCTAGAACGACATGGTTCTCTTAGCTTATATTGTATATTTTCTGGATGGTATTTTGAATTAGCCATTTCTCCAAGGAACTCTGGAATAGATTATTAGAGAGACTGGCCCACAGACTCTAACTGAGTCTGTGGTACTTCTGTTTCTCTGCTCTCTGTGCTGGCAGGCTGAGGAAGTCTATGTATGCTCATGACCTCTTACATGTACAAGTATCTATAAATATCTTATGTGACACTTTCTGTGTCTGTATCAGGTAACAAGAGCTCCCGTTAGAGTCCTCAACTCTAATCCATCATCACATGGGTCATGCCAGCTTCTTCATCTTGCTTATTTATAAACTGCCGCTCAGTTCTGAGAAACTATGGCTCCCTTCATCCAACATCTCTTACTTATTCAATTCTAATA